TTATTAAAACAAAATGGCGGCTGTTGAAAATCTATATGAAGAGACATTAGGCATATCTCAAAGACTACTTTTAATTTTGAAAATTTGAGCAATAGTGGATGCCTAATACCCTGCAAGTCCTATTTATTATCTTGTAACACTCTCCATGAATAAATAATAAATTTAGAATGTCAGCATTTGAATAAATGTTAACGTTTTCCATTTCTTTAACAATAAATAATACTCAAATAAACGTTTACTGTATGTGTTAAATTGACAACAATAAACTGGTGACCGATTAGTAGTCCAATTAACTAAGCCTTTAAATCGAAATTTTGCCAACTTNTTCAAATGTTATAGCATCATCGTAAATTATGTTATACGAGGGTAGCCCGATAATTTGGGTTCCTAGATCCAAATTCACACCTGGAAAATTACTATACAGAATCACCTAACTTTATTAAAAAGAAAACCCAATTTCCCAAGCATCCTGCAATTTTTGAGGCAAGGCCTTCTGAACCTGTAGCATTTTGAAAAACAAATTATTAAAACAAAATGGCGGCTGTTGAAAATCTATATGAAGAGACATTAGGCATATCTCAAAGACTACTTCGATTTTAAATTTGAAAATTTGAGCAATAGTGGAGGCCTAATATCCTGCAAGTCATATTTATTATCTTGTAACACTCTCCATGAATAGTAATAATAAATTTAGAATGTCAGCATTTGAATAAATATTAACGTTTTCCATTCTTTAACAATAAATAATACTCAAATAAACGTTTACTGTATGTGTTAAATTGACAACAATAAACTGGTGACCGATTAGGTGCTTATTTTGAAGTTCCACTAAAAATTTCACAGCCATCCTCGCAAGAAATTATGCTATAGCCGTTGACTGCACGAAGAACTGTAAATAACTTAAAAACCAGACGAGATAGGTATAGGGAACCATTATACCATTCGAAAGAGAACAAAATTGTTCATCAGGTTGCGCAAAAATATACAGGGAGTTCCACTTAAATAAAATAAGTTAAGATGGTTTCAAGTTGACTAAATTCGGCATTAAATTTCTACCACCCTGTATGAAATTAAGTCATTTTGAAATTATGACAGGGAAGCTTAGAGTTTTAGTTATGTCCCCTATAAATTTTATGGCTCTAACTTTATTGTTGTAGAATACATAGTATTTTGAATTGGGCAGTGCTTTATAATTTTTAGGTTAGGTGGATGTCATTATTTTAGTTGAGAAGGGATACCCGAAAATTTCACATCATCCAAAAATTTTCAAAAAGTGATAAGATATTTTCGTTTTCTCGCTGTATCATTGTTACTCAATATATAGTATTACTGTTAGCCTGTCTTTACAATCAATTTACACTTTTAAAACCTTTTAAAACACACAAAAGAAACAAAACGTAAGTTACAACATTTTATTCCACACCTGAAGAAATTTCCTTTAATAAGAAAAAAAGCCATGAATAGCTGCTGATTTAGTTGCTGTCGGACTAAACAGTGCTCAACCTACGTAGTAAATATGCCCTACTACCACTCCGTCTTTCACTGCTGCGCGAATGTAACCACGACCACCACTGTAAACATTTTACAGATGTAGGAGCGTTCTACGCGGTCCCCGCGTATTCTGAGTTTATCAGATGAATTTTGCAACACGAGTTAAATTGACTGCACGTTACAAATTTTAAATTTCCTTTTTAATGTGTTTCATAAGGCTAATCTATTTAATTGTCCAGGTAACACTGTAAACTATTTTTTAAATTAAATTTTTTTACTATGAAACTCTAGATGGTGTGCTGCCCAAAGAGCCTCCGGCACAGCCGCCACCGAACACCCAGTAAAGCAACAAAATATCGACCCATATATCAATTTAAAACTTTTATGATGACTTATTCGATGGCATAATAAGTTCTCTACAGCCGCCTTATTGTTATAATCATTTGTTAATAAACATAGTCCACAAGGCCTTGAAGAGATCTACAAATAGATACCTCGATTGTTGCAATGCCTTAAACATTATAGAAAAACAATCTTAAGATTTTTAAGTGTATATTTAATACATACATAATATACTTATTTAATTTCACTTACATGTTAGTTACATTTCGAAAAGCACTCGTATTTTTTTTATCTCCACTCGTATATGTTGTAATAATCAATGCAATAAATCTTTAAGTTGCCATTTAATGTTTGATTAATAACAACTTCGCGAAATAGAAGCATAAAAAATACACAAAATGAAGAAAAAATCCAAAACTTTCCTAACCAAAGCTCGGTCGATTGTTATATAAATAAAACTGACTGCATCGATCAGAAAAAAAATTGAAACAGCCTAGCAAAAATGTCAATAAGAACAGCTTTAATTTATTTCATATTATTGGGTTTTAACGGTGCATTAAAAATGTGAAAAAATTAATTGCGTTATTTTAACCAGGTTGGTTTCGAGACAACTTTTAGTTTTATAGAAACGTTCACTAAAATGAAATAATTTATCTAAAAAGTAAACTTTTCCACTGACAATAAAATAACGAACTTTTGCGTCACTACAAAAGTTCTCTCTGCCTGAGGAAACAGAAAAAATGAGACCTACTTGAGGATTATATCGAATATGAGGTAAAACCGAAATACAATGAGACAAAAATAGTGTGATAAATTTTCTTCTGTTCACCTGTATAACTATTTTTTACATGCATATTTCGTATTAGAAGATAGAGCTTTAAAAACGTTTATTTATTTGTTTTTTTATATATATAATAATGGACATATGAAAAAAGTAAATGTAATAAAATCCTTGAATACTTAGAGCAGAAAACGCTTAAATTCAATCAAGGTTTGCAATAATTATTCATAATACATTAATTAATTTATCAACTGTATATTTCATGAATATTAAAATTTGTGTTAAAGTAAACAAGCAGAAAAGGTGAAATAGTTGGCAAATTTTGTTGCAAAATTATTCAACAGTTGTATTTTTTATATACTTACCTGGAAATTATCAAAGAATATTTCCTGATAGTTCTGAAAAAATAAAGTAAATTTGTCTAGTATCAAACAGAAAATAAAACAGGTAGGAAAAAGGAAAACGTTTAAAGAAAAACATGCCTATATGTACACGGTAAAGAGAATTGAATTCGAAAATTATAATAGAACCGAACAGTTTCAGAATCATAATTTCAACAGGCACTTACTCATAATCCCTTATTAATTTAAATTCATGTAAAATTTATAAATTTAAATTTTGAATGCAAATGAGTAATCGACTTATTGTTTTTAAGCAGCTACTTTTAAAATTTGAATTCAACCGAACTTACAATATTATGACCGTACTTAAAATCATTTCTTGCACAATTTCCCTTAAATAAAAATGAATATATTTTAAGTTATATACGTATAAGAATTGTATTTAAATAGATATACAGGGTGGGACATTAGTGTGAGAAAGTAAAATAACTCCCTTGTGAAAATAATACAGAAAAAAGTTTATATAAGAGTTATACAGAATCAAGATACCTAAACTACAAAATTAATACGATACACACAGGGTGGTGAGTAAAAACGGGACACGCTAAATATTACATTTTTTAAATGGAACACCCTGTATATTTTTAAACATATAGATTTCCGAGAAAATTCTGTATCTGGCAGTTGATTATTTTAGTGCGGGGTTGTCAAATTATGTGGAAAATTCTTCGAATTTTGGAAAAAACATGACTTCGAAGAAGTTGTATGAACTTTTAGCTACTAACACTTGAAACAAAATAGTTAGACAGAGTTATAGGCAAATGTTAGACCAAAGGCTCCTATATTTGCTAATATCGATATTTTATACAGGGCATTTTTTATAATATTTTTAGAAAATTTAAACTTGATTTTCTAAAATTTTTCAAATGGAACACCCTGTATTTTATTGTTCTATATTATTCACATATCGGTCCACTTCAACTTTTATTAAGCATGTTCTATATCTAAAATTGTTAGTTTTTAAGATTTAGCAACATTTCTGAAAAAACTTATTTTTTATTATTTTATAGAATACCAACTAATAAATATTAACTAATAAAATTAACTCAAAATGGAATGATAAATTATGAACTGACAAGTTGAGACAGTGTGACAGTTTTTTCTAAAGCCATTTCGTGCGACCGAAACTAATAAAAATTAGGTTTTTCCAGAAATGTTGCTATATCTTAAAAACTAACAACTTTGGATGTAGAACATACTTAATAAAAATTGAAGTGGACTGATTTAAAAAAATTGAGAAAATAAAGTTTGAACTTTCTTAAAATGATCGTATTATAAAAAATGCCCTGTATAAAATATCGATATTGGCTAATATAGGAATCTTTGCCTAACATTTACCTATAACTCTTAATACAACTTCATCGAGGTCGTTTTTTCCAAAATTCTAAGAATTTTGTACATAACTTGGCAACCCCGCACTAAAATGTTAAACTGTTTATATTGCCATTTATAAAATGTAATATTTAGCGTGTCCCGTTTTTACTCATCGTCCTGTGTGTTTCAAACTAATTTTGTCCTTTAGGTTTTTTGATTCTGTACAACTTTTATATAAACTTTTTTCCTGTATTATGAATAAAAAGTGAGTTATTTTACTTTCTCACACTAATGGCCTACAATAGGTACTGTTTGTTCAAACTATCCATTATTTTACACCAGGATGATCTATAATAACTTCAAAGCACATTCGTCAAATAGATCTAGATATATTTGTGTATACTTAGAGCCAGTGTTAGGAGGTAAACCACCTTACAGCTCCTATGCCAAAAGTCTTCGCAGTTTTGGCTGCCTCCCAAGACAGTTGTTTTTTCCACGTACAATGATATACTGCATTGTTTATACAAGCTACAGGGCCTTTAAAATTATCTTTGCACACAAGTTTTGTCAAATAACCTTCGATACAGAAAAATATTTTTTCCCCACAATCTTTTTGTCTTTATTTTTTTTTTTTTTGGAGTGTTTGAGGGTACTGATTAAAAGTCGGTGAATAATATTTGATAAAAATTTATTTTTTTGTTTTTTTTTATAAAATTTTTATATAAAAAGCTCTGTACAGACTTCTGTACTATCACACATCAGCGATAGAAAAACATAAAAACCTACATTTAAAATGTACAAAAACCTATTCCTATGTGTAGTCAAACTACATGGATTTGAGATCAAATATTTTCAAAAAAGTTTGGCGTGAACCCGACAAATTAATACTGTATTTTTAGCTCGATTTGTTTCGATAAAACAAACGTTGAGCCTTAAAGGAAAATTTGTCGGTTCCACATCAAACTTGAAAAAAAAAGAAAACTTAACCAAACGAAAGTTAACGTACCAAACTAATATCACAAACAGATAAAAGAACAAAATACTTTTTTAAAAAATAATAATTTATACACACATATCACAACTTCAGATGGTTTTTTTAAAAAACCAACTAAAAGCTTGGTCGTCACATCGTTTTCGTATTGCTTGCTTAAAATCTAGCTCATCTTTCAAAATACTATCACTTATTTTGTTATAAACTATATACCTAATATATAAAAACAAAATTAAAGAAACGTTCATACAATCTTACGAAACAATCATGATAAAATATATTCTGATTGAAATACTCATTTTGTTAAACCTAACTCAGTCTTTACGCAATGTACTTTTGATTTCAATCACTTGTCGAACGGTATAACTTCTTCTTCTGCAGACCGTACTCCGGACTGATCATCACTGTGCCACCTCTGGTGATTTTTCTGTAACAAGGAAAAAAAAATTAGTTTGGAAACAAAACACAGCTCCCAAAAATTTAGATCAAATGAAATCATTCATTCATAGAAAATCAATTAGTAAAATTTTGACGGACACCAAAAGATTTGATCTGATACATAAAAGAATTTTAGTGTTAATTGTTATTTTGGTGTTCACTAAAAATATTGCTCTGCACATTAAACATATTTTTACCATACACCAAAAAATTTTTGACCACAATAATTTCTACTTACTTTAAAAACTGTGGCAGGAACGAGTTCCATCCAGCGGCCTGCTTCAGGGTCAGATAGACCTCGAACGTCGAGGGGGTGGTAGGGTCGCACTTGATGGTGCTGAGCCTAGTCTTTAGCTCCTCCGCCTCGAAGTTGATGTAGAGAGTGCAGCCTTTCAATCCGCAAGGTTCCACATCTGCCAGTTGGAACATATCTTGGGCTATGGCTCTCGTCAGACCGTTCGGCAGGAGGACCTCACCTACGGAAAGGTGGGTCCTCTTAGCAGTCCTGAGCTCCGCCTCCAAGCGCTTCGAAAGCGCTTCAATCAAGGAGGTTTCCTCCGACTCGGGAAATTCGCTGTACTCCCAGTCCGATTCTGAAACAAAAAATATCAATTTTTACAAACGTGTCAAAGTGGTTCGATGGATAGAAAACAACCTGCGATTTCGGTTGGATTGGAAAGTTTATTTAAAGCGAGGAGAAACTTTGTGTTGCTAGGCACAGCTTTTTCGAGGTCAGCTAGGGTCATAGCCGGCTCGATTCGAGCGTTGCTTAAACCGGCAAAAATTACACCTTGCCATGAAATTATATTTTTTAACCTTCCGATTGTTTCAAAAGATAAATGGATGGCTTTGCAGGCCGGTACTTGTTGCGGCGTTTCGTAATCTGTTTGTTGAGATTCGAACGCTGAAGAAAGTTGGAAAATTAAACTAGCTCGATAGGTTTGTTTCTGGCAAAACAGTTTTTTTAGTGACTAAAAGCTTGTTTCATTTCCGATTCCGACTGTATATCGTAATGCTCAATTTATTTTTTCCCAGTTTTATATCGTATTACTAACGTTCAATAACTTGTAAGGACAGTTTTATATTTTTAAGTTAAAAATAAAAAATGGAAAGTGGGGTAAAAAATTCGGAAGTAAATAGAACGATGCTTACCTTCAGGGTTGCTGTACTGGAAATTGTTAACTGGTAAAACTTCCATGTTTTCACTGAATATCACAAATTGTTCTTGTATGAAAATACCGGCTACCGGTTTTTCTGTAACTTCGCAGAGCGCCTTACTCTTTCACTGTCTTGCAAACTACTATCAGATAATCAGCTGTTCGCTTTATTTATAAAGTTACAGTCCCCCACTTACGATTCCGGCCGCCGAACGCGACTCGGCCGGGTCCGCAAAAGCCGTGCCTACGTGATCCAACACCCATCATACGAGCTGGAGAAGATAGAGATAATATAAACGTTTCTTTGTTTGAATGTGAGACGATTTTTAATTATTATTACCAATTTGCATCGGGACGAGCTGAAAAAAAAGGTGAAAAGCTTGCCCCGTCCTGAAGAAACCGTAAACCGGGACTGAAACTCAGCCTTGGTGGACTATTATGCGTTGCTGTTACAAGATTAGAGAAATCTTAGTAGTTCGATGTTCTTTTTTTTCTGGGCGATGATTAAGCCCCGCTAACTTGATTTTAGCTTATGTAAGTGGAATACGTGTAGCAGGCCGGTCGTTTTATGTAAGTTCCGAGTTGGCAGGTAGTTTGCACTTTTGATGTTTACGGCAGTAAATTTTTTGCAAACATGGAACTACTGTTTCGTAAATATATTTACGGGGTATGGACCTGGAACAGCTTTTCCAAGGTTGCTGACTGTTTACAGATTATTTTTTTATGGTATTTTAAACAGATGTGTATATTGTACTAAATCAATTTTATCTCAAAAGGAATATTGAAATGGTTTTACAAACAATTTTTATCATCATAGGCTATTAATTATATTATTTTAAAAGGATATTATTATTAACGTTCAAGATATTTTATTACATGAATAGTTTAAATGGTCATTTTAGATGAAAAAACCGTGGAGTGCTATTAAATTAGAGGGTGGAAATTGGGGATGGGGTGAAAATGCACCCCTTTCAGTTTTTTAATTGTAGTTCGAAAACGAAGCAAAATTTCGCTATAGTTCATAGGAAAAATTATTTAGAGAATTGAATTTCCCATCGNATTGAAGATAGGGGTGAAAATGCACTTTTGCAGTTTTTTAAATATAGCACGAAAACGAAGCAAAATTTCGGTATAGTTCATAGGAAAAATTTTGTAGAGAATTGAATTTCCCATCGAAATGGATTTAAAAAATTTAAAAGAAAAATTTTATGCAAAAAATCGTTAATAAACAATTTAAAAAAAGCAAATATGTAATAAGATTTTTTTTTACTTTTTTGCTCCTAAGTTGTGAAAATTTTTATTTATTACTAACAAATAAAACTTCAAATAATTTTTTATTAAGTAAAGAACCAATTTGTTGTAAAAATAATAAGAATTATAATCATTATGTTAAAAACGACGAAAATCTAAAAATTATTTAAGTTTGACCGGTTATAATTCAGTCAATGTTAGTTCAAAAACTTTTGAAAACGCATAATTTTGAAGGGAATCGCATCTAGTTTTTTTTGTGCAGCAATTTTCTTTCCCTACTTCTACTAAAAAAAAATAGTCAAAAAAGTAAAACAAAAACAAAAACTTATGTTTTGCTTTTTTTTAAATTGTTTATCTATGAATATTTGCATAAAATTTTTCTTTTAATTTTTTAAATAAGCCATTTCAATGGGAAATTCAATTCTCTACAAAATTTTTCGTTTGAACTATACCGAAATTTTGCTTCGTGTTCGTGCTATATTTAAAAAAACTGCAAAAATTAATTTTCACTCCTATCCTCAATTTTAACCCTCTAATTTAATAGCACGCGCGGTTTTTTCATTTTTAATGACCCTCTGAACAAGTCATGTGATGAAAATCCTTGAACGTCTTATTTCCTTCCTTTTTTGCAAAAAATGAGAATTAAAACGTGTAAAGGTAAACGCGACGAAAATCGAAAAATTGGCAAATTGTAAGTTTGAGCGGCCATAATCAACCAATTTCCATGTAAAAGTACTTTACAGCCTCTTATTTTGAAGGAAATTTTATCTACTTTTTTT